ATCCAGCCAGGGTCAACCCACCACAGATATTAGTAAGCAAATACACCAAAAATCCTTCATAGGTTTCATGTGGTTGCACGGTTCCTCCCAGGTCCAAGTTCATTTGCTGTGATGGACCCTGCATGGAGTCAACTGTCAAGTACTCACCTGGGGACTCTGCACTATGCTCTTGCTTCTCTTCTCTCTCCTGGTACTGAAGTAAATGTGACCACAAAGCAGATTTCCCCTGAAAATTGAATATGTAGTACGTAGCTTTAAATAAATCAGGCAAAAGAAAAGAGGCCAATGAAAACAGCAAAATAATAGGATGGCATTGCAGTGGGTAAAACGTTCAGTAGTGACAATCAATCCTCCTCTCTTGGGTCACAAAACCTCAGGAAGAGGAGAGGACCATCCCACTAACCTAGCAGTCACACCACCTGCCTTGTTTCTTTGTCCTCTCCCCCGGTTTCCCTTCTGAAGTTTGAAAGAGAAGAAACCAAATGCCTATTTGACAACATCACTGCATTTTCCAGAGGTACCTCTAAAATAAAAAGAGAAAAAATAAACCAACCCCCCCAAAAAACAAACCCCCAAAACTCCTCAAACGCTTATGAACCAGGGACTCTGAGCCCAAAGATACTTCTCACTTTATGTTGCGATGACATCACTGAGGAGCAGCTTAAAAGGTAGAGATGGCATTCAGTATTTGCTAGAGTACCGTACACACAAAGTCCCGAGTTTCCAGTTACCAACCTGCTTAACCTGCAGACCATGGCTCCAGATTCTTTCTAGCAGATCACAGAGACTAGCAATCAACGTATTTTCCTCCAGACCTGTTATATTAGCTTCTCCATGTCCCAGCTCAACCGCTTCATGGCCCATTTTCTCTACCAACATGCGTTTAGTCTACAAAAAAAAAAAATAAAAAAAAATCCCTAAAGGTTTGAGAATGTTATCCAACAAGGGACAGAACTTATAGGTGAGTTTACTTAAACATACTTAATCTAGAGACCATCGCTAATGGCCTGACCAGAGAAACTTCAAATCTTTTTACAGAGATTGTAAATTAAAAAGAATAATTACAAAAAGAAGTTTGCATGATTACTTCATGCTGTCCTACTTCTATACACTTTATCTACTGTCCTATTCCTACACTGTTACCAACTGGTATCAAGAACAGCATACAGAGCTAGACAGGTTTTCCGTCTTACTCAGTATCTGTTTTTCTTCTTGTTACAGCTAGTAAAGTTTAAAACTCAGGTAATACAGTATAACACCAATGGCAACCAGCAAGTAGTTACATTTCCATGGCTATAAAACCTTCTTTAACATTAGAAACTGTTATACTTCATTTGCTCAGCATAAACAAGCAGCACAACAGTTGCACATGCTGAATGCTTCCCTTTTGACCGAGGGTCTTGAGCCCGCTATGTTTAGGCTACATGTAAATATGAACAATCAAAGGAAATCCTCCCTAAGACATCTGATCATGCTGATTCTTCTTCCTGTCCTTTTTAATGGCCTTTCCACCAACTTTGACTGCATAAACAAAAGAGCAATAATACGTTCCTTTCTTTTCTAGCAGTTGAAAAATATAATGCTAAAGGGATATCCACCCTGCAATAGCCTGGTATACCAACAGACCAACACCATTCCAGCTGTGAAGGATTCTCAGGACACCATGTGCAGATGCTATTTAGGCTCAATGTAAGCAAGGGGAGAGCACACGGGGGAGGACCTACCTTCATGCGACATTCTTTCAGTAACCCTTCCACAAATTTCCAGTTGGTCTGGGCAATCACAGCTGGAGAGAGGTCTGAGAGTTTGGGCTGCCTCAAATTTTTTCCTAAACTCCTTGCCTCCTGCATGTATTTCTAAAAATAAACAGAATAATTTTAGATATTACAAGTCAGAGGGACTCTCCTTAGCCTAATCCTAGGCAAGCAAATGCTAGTGAAAAGGAATGAGCTAGTGTTAATCTAGGAACAAAATAATGATTTGTCTGATGTTTGGATGTCGGGCTGGAGAAGTGGAATGCTCCATTTTGACAAGGGAAAAAGCAAGGTATTTTCCTGCGTGGTACTGAAACAGTCAACGTTAGCTAGTGAACTGTGCTGTTAGCCACTAGCACAAAGTTAGCCACAGCAAGTGCATAAAAGTGCAATACCTTCATTCAGCAATAAAGTCAAAACACCAAGTAAAGTTTTTTTCCATTGTTATTTGATTCTCACTTCAAAAAAAAAATTTAAAAGCCATTTGTCTAATTTGTGACCAGACTATACATGAATTGAAAAAAATCCTTTGAAAATACATTACAAGAAGCAGAAATACACTTAGTGAAGGAGAAAGATTCAATCCATTACTTTTCATCTGGATAGCTTATGTGAGAAAAATGAGACTTGATTTTATTCTCAATTACATTCTTAATTACAAGTGAAGCTCGTTTTAAACAAAATTGACATTTAGGATCATTCATGTGTTTACTGTGAGGTGGTAACTGAGAAGTATGGACAAAAATTAGCACACTCTTTAAAAACATATCCAAGCTATAACAAAAGACTTTTAAACCTTCCTCCTCCACTGCCTTGTTGTTCAGGACTGGGGTGTTTTTTTGTTTTGGTTTGGGTTTTTTTTTGTTAAGCAAAAAACCCCCAAACCAATCAAGTATCTTCTGCCCCCAACATCAGCGAGAGGGCTACATGCTGAGCAAAGCTAAGAAGTTGGCCACATCTAGGGTGTGCAAATGTGAAGCCTATCAAAAAGTTGTCCAAGCATTATTCATAAAGTTTTTGTTAAAAAGAGTAAGATAAAAAAATGTTTGCAAATAAGACTCTTGAAACACAGCGCTCATAGCCTGGTGTGGGAATGCTCCCTTTCCATAGCGTGTTTTTATCCAGTTAATGCTGCTTCTTTGGGGGACAGTATGTGACAATGACTGCTCTTCCCCTCAGAGGAGCGGATCAAATCGCTCCGGCAACTTAGTGCTGCTGCTGGCTGGGTTTTCCAGGGAACTGAGAGGTCACTATGGCTGCTGCACCCTTAGAGCTTTCTGGCTGGGGGGAAAATAATTTATTTCATAGAATCATTACATGGTTTGGGTTGGAAGGGACCTTAAAGATCACCGAGTTCCAACCTCTCTGCCATGGGCATGGATACCTTCCACTAGACCAGGAAAAGCAAAAGCAAAATCCAAAGACATTGAAGTTGATTGAAATAGCTTGCTTTTTTAATGGGGGAGTACAGTTTTTCCCGACACAATTGGAGTTTTTCAATACAAAACTTGGACAAGGACCACTTAACATCAGTCCAACAGGTCAGCCAGGAATGTAGGGTTCTGCCATGGAAAGCTGTGTTCAACAAAAGAGCTCAGCTAGGTCATTACAGTTTCACTAATACTCTAAGTCTTAAAAAATAGTTGAAAAACTACATGTAGGAATAATAATAAAAAAATAATTCACAGATGATGAAAACATGTTATTCAGCAAGCAATCTCACAAGTGACTTCCATCTAACTCGGTGCAAAAATTAGCAACGAAAACAGTGGAAGAGTAATACAGGGAATATATAATTAGGAAATCTAGTATTTCTTTTTAAATGTAAAGGGATAAATAAAATGCAAAGTGCGGTTATATTCTGAAGAGTACAAAACATGGATAACCTTACTTTATTCATTGTATATCTTATTACACTAAAAAAAAAAAAAAAATTATTAACTCTTCTAAGTTCAAGAGAAGAATAAGGGTGGGATGAGAGAACCAACTGATTGCCCTTTGCCTGTGCATCAGCATCCACACACCACCACCCTCTTCCACACTGGGATGCGATGATCCAGCAGCCAGAAAGCAATGCTTTTTGGATTTGACACCCTAAGCTGAATTGCCAGGCAAGCAACATGGGAAAAACCGAAGCAAAACAAAATTCTTGTCTTTCAGCCTTGGAGCTGTCATGTTTGCCAGGGAGCTGGCATGGAAGCCTAGAGCTGATTTCAACCTACTTTTCTGATTATAACCACACTTCCAAGCGCTACAGGGACATGCTCATACTCTACGAGAAAGGGAGAGGTTTGAGAGGCAGTGAAGACAGCAGTTCCTCATGCTAACAACATCTCAAAAGCAGCTTTTCAACAAGAAAAACTAAAACATACCAGGCAGCATTCAGAGAAGGATTTTTTAGGAGGCCGTGCAGGAGGGGGTGGTCCCTGATCCCACTCCCAGAAGGCCATTGAGTTCTGACGAAGCAAAAGCTCCTCCGATGGCTAAGAGGAGGCAGATGCCCCAATGGCAGAATAGCCAGAAAGAAAGAGGAGACAAAGCAAAAGAAGCATGCATATGATCCACAGCCAAAAAAAGAAGAAAGTAAATACATGACAAAGTATCGAAAAGGCTCTGCTGAGATATACACGAGGCAACATTTAAAATATACTTGCAAAGCCATGTTGGCAAAAATAGCAACAAACACGTACAAGTGCTGTTTTGCAGTGTTTCCATGAAACATCATTCAAAGCTGTGGTTCAAGAATCCACGCATCCATTTGGGTTCTTTTGGAGGGCAAACGCCAACACTGGCCAGTATTATTCAGTAAGATTTACCACAAAACAGCATAAGTGTTTTATTTTTGCTAGTGACATACAAAAGAAGCACATGGACATCAATGGAAAAATATGGCAGAAAATATTTAATGAAGGACGAGAAACTGAAAAGATGGGAAAGAAATATGTGTATGTGACCGACATTTACATGATGCATCGGAGTTTCCAAGCTTTAGGCATAAAAAGGCCCCAAAGTCTTAACCTTTCAAATAGGCTTACTCACATCAGGAATCTACGCAAGAGAAAAAAAAAAAATCCTTTAAAGAAGAAAGAGCCCTGCCTCATTCGCTTCTACAACGCTGACATTTATTCAAGGACTTGACTTTTCCAGAGACCTTCACCCTGGCCAGAGCTCAGCAGCTGCATCCAGGCAGGTGCCAGGGCTCTGCTCTCTGTGTGCAGTGAAATGACCAGGGTCTAAATCAGCAAGTAAGCCATTTTCCTGATGACAAAGGGGCTGTCTTATTCCAAAATAATTAAAGCATTTTATTTCTGTTGTGCGCTTTGAAGTTGTACACAAGCATCTGTGACAAGCAGCGTTTAAATGGCTATAGAGACCCATACAAACCTTATGGTAACCACAAAACTGCCCAAAGTAATAACACATCATTTGTCTAAACCTCACCTCCTGGATCACAAGCTCGTGTTGCCCGCAGATGATGCCACCTACCTCCCTCAAATCGTTGTCCAGCCCGATGTGCTCTGAGTGCTGCCGCAGGCGGTCCTTCCTCCGCTGTGCGGTGCTGCTGCGACTGGCCCAGCGGCTGGGAAGGCAGAGAGAGAAAGAAGACATGCGTGAGTGGAATAAAATCAGGAGGGAAAGCCTGGGTCAGGAGCCAGAGGACATCCAATGGGTCTGCAGCAGGAGAAGTGAAAGCACAAACTTGGACCTTGCAGTAGACGTGGGTGCAACCTGGCGCCTGACCTCCCTGTGGGAAACCACCTGGCAGGTGACAGGCCAGCACGCATCCAAGGGACAAAAGCCCTGATGGAAATGTGCCTGCTGCCTGCCAGGGTCTCCAGTGAGAGCTCCTGTGTTACCCAAAATGCAGGTCATGCCACAACACTGATGCCACCACTAGGTAAATTGTTGTACTTTGTTACCCAACACCACCATTGTTTGCTGGATTTGCTGAAGTTTGATAAAAATGGTGTCTGTAGGAACAAAAAAAATACAATTATGTATTTTGAGTAGCAACTTCTAAGATTTTCCTCTTCTGCAAGAGGTGGTACTTCTCCTTTCTCCACTTTCTGTGGTAATTCCAGCAATTATTTCAGAGAAAGTTCTCATTGCAATATTAACTACTGTGATATTGGATGCACCTATGTGTAAAGGCTATAAACAATATTGACATTTCTGGGATTAATCATGTTGCTATCTTCACCATATCTTTTTTTGGATCGGGTTTCTGAATACCACAGAAAGCCTGTGTTTTTTCTACATGCTCATATATGTCCAGTTAAATTTTTTCGTCATCTGAAGCTGTTGCCTGAAAGCAGTCATTTGGTAACCAGGTTTGAAACTGAGAAACTTTAAAGCTCCCAAGTGTCCAAACTCCTTTATGCCGGATACTATAACAAACCACAAAACAAGATAATTCTGTCCTAATTAATTTCGAGTCTGATTGTAGAGTTTCTAATAATATAACCTTCTGTCAAATCAAAAATGGTCAACTAGTGCAGAGTATAAAGAAGTTAATACATTATTTATATAAGAAAGTAGAAATAACATTGTATAAAGCAACCTATCAAGCATCAAAAATCAGTATCTTAATGCACATGAAAGCTTATCTTCAGAATGATATTACTTAATTACTATGGTTGTGTTTATTAAGATCAAAAATATCTTTCAAATACAGTTAAAAATACAGTTAAAAAAAACCCCCACCCTACACTCTCCAACCTCAGCACTTGAGTCAAAGGGACCCTTCAAAACCTGTCTCCATTGTGGCCCCTCCACTCCAGACTGAAGGGTCCACGCTCAGCACCACACCAGAACGACTGATCTGAGATGGCTTTTTCTACATGAGCTGTGATCGACAGGCATAGCCCCTGGGGATTTGGGTTCTCTGCCTTTGATAGATCTATACAGACAGAAACCCAGAAATGCCCACATCAGACAGAAGTGTGCTTGGTGAGCCTCTCCACACCGGTGGTATTGGTGAGGACAGCAGTCTCCAGATCCCAACTCATCTCTTTCTGTCTGCACCCCAAACAGGAGCATATACAAATAGGATCTGGGATCTGAACTGTTTGGGCAATGAGTTTCAGCTGGTGACACGTAGACAGATGCACGCCTGGAGGAGGAAACCCTTGCACAGAGGTGGACTTGGGTCCTGACGTGTCCAGCAAGCCATTGGGGATGCACAGGGAGGGGAACCTGACCCAAGAGAAGTGCAGGAATGTGACCCCTGGTAACCAAAGCCTCCTGTTTCCAGAGAGAAAGACTTTGCATATATGTGCCTAACTAACTATCTCCACCAATTCCTCCAGTGGGTCAACCAAAGACCAAATTTTGGCTAACCGCACAGATAAAAAGGGAAAAAAGTCATAGGAACTATAGTTTTTATAGTAAAAGTCCCTTCCTACCTCCCAAATAACATCAAGAAAACAAGTACAAAGCAAGAAATAAACATCTGGGTCTGCATGTAATTATGGTTCAGCACCTCACCATCCCATATGACAAGAAATTTATTTTTAAAGCAATGTAGCTTCAAGTCTCTGGTAACTAAATGAAACAGCCCAATAGGTGTCTGCACAGCAAATGCTGATACCTTCTTAGAGGAGTGTATTACTGACATAAGTGACTTTGCACCTCCTCAGAAGTCTTAAAAATATACAGCCCACCAGTTTAATAAGTCATCACTCTTTTTTTTTTTTTTCAGAAGCAACACCCAACACCTCATTAGATGACTGAGGTGGGGAATAAACCTCTACATTTTAACAATCTCAACAAGCAGAAATGCAGCAGAAGAAACATCCCCTCGAGCAGATAATAGCAGATGTAACAGTGACTTTAGCTACCTGGCTCTGCAGACCTTCCATTTATTGCAAGTTAGTCCCATGCTTACATTTAACATGACAGAACGCCAATAATATGTTGGAAAGTTATGTCATAGATCAAATATTACCCATATCATATTTTTCTGCTCCAATTTATATGGTATTTTCTGAGTTCTAGACAAAGCTTGGATCCCTCTCCACCTGCATTTCTGCAGTTACTGGAAGATGTAAGAATTGCTAGAAGTGTCCTTTGAGGGAACAGGTCTCACCAAAGGTGAAAGCAGAATGAAAGCCACAGAATAATTACAAGTAATAGACCATCATTAAAGCATTTTCAGTTAATTTCAGCCCTGTATTCCATCTGGGAGAAGGCACAGACCATTCTCCAGCTTATTAATCAGAACTATTTGAACATTTTAAGCATACAAACGTAAAGTTCATTGGGTGTTTATGAAAAAAAGACCGCTGCTCATTAGCTGGAGCAATTACACACGCAGCAAACTGCACGCTCCCTCTTTCCCAACCTCTAAGCTGAGGAAGAGTTGCTGCCGCGGCGCTGGGTGAAGTCTGTGCATTCGGATGCTGCTCTGAATCTCCCCAGGAGATTTTGTGAAGATCTAACAGCAGATAAGCAGGATTAAGCAGCTAAATCTTTTAAAGCCTTTTCTTTACTGGGCCACACAGAATTTTCCCAAAATAATGCTTCAGTATTACAACCACCATTCCCTTCCATCAGCAGAGACTGCATTTTAGATTACTCTTCCTCTCCCTTTGTCACTTGAAGTGATTTTAAGGGGGGTAAAAGCCCTCCCCAGTGGCCATGCCACCTCCCTTCGGTTGCCGAAATCCCACATGGGTGCCTCTCCTGGCCCTGCCATCAGCTGCTGCCTTATTCACACCTCAGCCCTGGCGCTGCCAAAGCAGCGAGGAAAGCTGCACTCACGCAGGCAGATGCCTGCTTGTTGTCAGCGCTTAGTCTCGGCCTTTTCAGCTAAACCACTACAGCCCGTGCCCCTGTGGAGCAGATGCCAGAGGAGATGAAGCCCTCCTGGCTGGTCCCTGCCTTGGGAGGATGCGCCCTGAGCTGCCTGGCACTTGGGACCATGCACAGCACTGCTGCCCAGCCTACATGCTGCCCGAGTACTCCCTGACCCAAAAAATGCCCTCTCCCTTTATTTTTTGCCTGTAGAGCCATGAACATAGACTACTGGCATGTTTCATTTATTCCTCACAGCAGAGGCATTGCTACAAGCACCAAGTCTCTGGGGACAAAGCAGCCGCAGCTCGGGCACTGTGTTGCAGAGAGCCCAGGGACAAGCTGCCTACATGGAGAAGTCTGCCTGTGTCTAACTCCCATGTCTAACTCCCTCGTCACCTCCAGGGACTGCAAAAAAGCAGTGATATTTCAGAGGAGGTGATATTTCAGGGAAGACTTCTCTGTTCAATATAGTCAAATGAAATGAAGGCAACCTCCAACTAAGACCCTTTCAACATGAAGAGAGAGAAGTCAGTATTTTTTAATATCAAATTAGACCCAAGAAACATAGGAATAGGTTTGCAGAGGTCAGAGGAAACGTAAAGGTGACACTTGGAAAAGATGATACTTAATCTGTGATGCTTAATTTCTGTAACGAAAATCGTAGTCAGCATCAAAGCGGAACTGTCAGAAACCAATCTAGCAAACCAGCAGCCTCACACCAGGGACTGGCTGTGCTGTACTGCAACCATGTGTACATCTCTCTTTCTCCCCCGACCTTTTGCCCCTGCCCTGCTTTTTAAAGCTCCATGAAGAAATGATGTCTACTCAAACCAGACATGGGTGTAATGGGCAGGATATATACTGCAATACATGCAACATGCTGCTAGAGAACTTCATTCACAGATTAGACCAATATTGCCATCACCATGAAAATCACTATTGTAATTTACAATCTATTTACAGTGATAACAGAGAGAAGGAAGGAGACAAATGTACTTGTTTACAGGACAGAAGCTAAATCTCCCCATACAGACCATCTCCTGAAGCAGACTGCTATTTAGGCCTGCAAATCATGACAATACCCCTTTTACCCATACACTTCCATCAAAGGAGTTATCTGACCGTATTTCTGTATTCACAAATTAGCACATAGCTGTACCACACTCTCCACCAAATCCCCCGAAAGCATGCATGCAGCCCGCACACATTAAATACACACAGACTGCACACGTAATCTGCTTGGGTTCAGAAGTCGCTTGCGTGGGACTACACAGAGATTCCAAGTCAAATACACGTCGGACCAAACAAATTAAAAGGCAGGTCGAAACCAAGCTCCACCTGATCACGGATGGGCTGACAGGAAGGGTTCTGCACTGTGAATCTGCTCTGCACACACTGCTCCATGGTAAGGAGGACAAAGGCTCAAATAGAGACTAACGCTCCTTTTTCATCTCTGCTGTAGGGCTGAACAGGAAAGCTTTTAAACCGCTGATCGGGTGGTCAAAAATGATCAAAACGCCTTGCAGAGAATGGTCTTGCACTGACAGGCTGTCTTGTCAGATTATATGAAAAGAAGTGATTTAAAAGGGTGATACCTACAACCGCCATCCTCTGCAAGGAACAGCGGTAGCGATTTGCCAGCATCACCCCTTAAGCCCTGACGAACCACTGTCCTAAGTGGTATTTAATCTGCAAACTCCCTTGAGACAGTAACACTGTTCAGGGCAGAGTAAATAGAATAGAAGATGCAAGGATTCAACACACATTTTTATGTGTGAACTT